TGACATGACTAATTGTGACATGACTAATTGTGCCGTGACAATTTGTGCCGTGACAATTTGTGCCATGACTAATTGTGCCATGACTAATTGTGCCATGGCTAATTGTGTCATGAAAATGTGTGCCGTGACTAATTGTCTTCGATTGTAAGGATTGGTGGACGTTGTATCTTAGGGCCTTTTAGATGGCTGTGTTGTGCCGACAGTGTGGGTGTGTTTTTGTCTAACGTGGATGTGTATTGTATGACCCAGTTCAACGGCGCTGACCGAGTGTAATGAGAGAAGTCTGGCCATCCAGTGACTCTATCATGTCTGGCCATCCAGTGACTCTATCATGTCTGGCCCATCCAGTGACTCTATCATGTCTGGCCATCCAGTGACTCTATCATGTCTGGCCATCCAGTGACTCTATCATGTCTGGCCATCCAGTGACTCTATCATGTCTGGCCATCCAGTGACTCTATCATGTCTGGCCATCCAGTGACTCTATCATGTCTGGCCCATCCAGTGACTCTATCATGTCTGGCCATCCAGTGACTCTATCATGTCTGGCCATCCAGTGACTCTATCATGTCTGGCCATCCAGTGACTCTATCATGTCTGGCCCATCCAGTGACTCTATCATGTCTGGCCATCCAGTGACTCTATCATGTCTGGCCATCCAGTGACTCTATCATGTCTGGCCCATCCAGTGACTCTATCATGTCTGGCCATCCAGTGACTCGATCATGTCTGCCCATCCAGTGACTATCACGTCTGGCCATCCAGTGACTCTATCATGTCTGGCCATCCAGTGACTCAATCATGTCTGGCGATCCAGTGACTCTATCATGTCTGGCCATCCAGTGACTCTATCATGTCTGGCCATCCAGTGACTCTATCATGTCTGGCCCATCCAGTGACTCTATCATGTCTGGCCATCCAGTGACTCTATCATGTCTGGCCATCCAGTGACTCTATCATGTCTGGCCATCCAGTGACTCTATCATGTCTGGCCATCCAGTGACTATCATGTCTGGCCATCCAGTGACTCTATCATGTACTGTAAGTCTGGCCATCCAGTGACTCTATCATGTCTGGCCATCCAGGGACTCTATCATGTACTGTAAGTCTGGCCATCCAGTGACTCTATCATGTCTGGCCATCCAGTGACTCTATCATGTCTGGCCCATCCAGTGACTCTATCATGTCTGGCCATCCAGTGACTCTATCATGTCTGGCCATCCAGTGACTCTATCATGTACTGTAAGTCTGGCCATCCAGTGACTCTATCATGTCTGGCCATCCAGTGACTCTATCATGTCTGGCCATCCAGTGACTCTATCATGTACTGTAAGTCTGGCCATCCAGTGACTCTATCATGTCTGGCCATCCAGTGACTCTATCATGTCTGGCCATCCAGTGACTCTATCATGTACTGTAAGTCTCGACATTTTTGGACATCTCGAGGCCGGTGACCAGAAAGATGCGCAACGGAAAAAAAAGCGCAAAACAAAAAGCGCAACGGAAAAAAAGCGCAAAACAAAAAGCGCAACGGAAAAAAGCGCACACAGAGAAAAGCGCAAACAGAAAAAAGCTCTTTTTTCTGCTTGCGCTTTTTCCCGTTGCGCATCTTTCTGGGAACCCTCGAGACCAGCAGTAGGAAACAAGTATCGGTCATCCATAAATGACGTCACGCTTTTTTGACCACTCTCTCCCAACCGTTACAAGAAGTCAGACCCCACTCCAGAATGACGTCACGCATCAGACCCCCCCTCCCTTAAAAATTGCAGTTTTATTTGTTACATACTAGGCTTCGTCACCAGACAGTACGGTGACCAACCAAATAAAAAATTGAGGAAGTTTTGTAATTGTGCAAACATTGAAATATTCACAAATCTTGACGTTTTACACCTCTCTGAGTTGGTAAAACTTAAATTCGCAGTGCTACGTAGACGAAATTTCATATACAAGCCTCTATCAAATTAGGGGTCGTCCATAAATGACGTCACACTCGTAGGGTGGGAGGGAGAGGTTAATAATTTTGTGACGGTGTGTGATGAGGGGAGGGTGGGGGGGGGGGGGGTTCAGATGGTGTGACGTCACACTTTTGCATTATAAAAAAGCAGTGTTAGAAAACGAGTTTTTGCCGTTATTTGGCGTTTTAGAAAACTGTTTTAATAAATTATAATAGAAATCGATTAAAATACTCTGTTGACAGAGTTCAGACAAATATCGATGTTTTAAGAAGAATTTAACTGCAATTTTGAGGGAGGGGGGATTTGTATGCTGAGGTGTGACGTCATTTTAGGGGGGGGTCTAGCTTTTTGTGACGATGTGCGATGTAGGGGTACTGTTTGAGTGAAACGAAATTTCACTTAGATCTATATGAAGATCTAATTCGCTGTTTTTTGAACTTCACTTAGATCTATATGAAGATCTAATTCGCTGTTTTTTGAGTGGCCGGGAGTAGTACTTTACCATATTTCCGATTTCTCAAAAACGCTTATAAATTTTTTTTTCACTTTCTTCTTCTTCTTCGTTCTTAATTTTTAGTGTTGGAGGGGATCGAGCCTTATCTGCCCGAGGGTTCGAACTCGAGACTTTTCGATTAAGCAACCATGAGCTTTACTCCATGAAGAAGAGGACAAAACTTCATCTATAGCCTACTCTGTACATGAGAAATTGAAAGACAGGTGGGTGGATTTAAAAAAAAAATGTTTGAAATTGAATTTGAGCAGTTGATTAGCAGTTTTACAAAGCCTAAACTGCAATTTAAAAAAAAAATGGGATCTATTCCACCAAGCTCACTGAATATTTCATAGAGGAACTTTCATCAACTGGTTGAAAATGTTAACAGATTAAAAAACTAGGTTTAGATTGAATGACATCTCTTTCTTTATTATAGTATAGATATTTCATGTGTCATACAATCATGTCATGTAGGAATGTCATATGTCAAATAAAGCATATAAATATCCAAATTAAATCATCTGACATGGGAGCTCAGCAATTATTAGAGAGGGGTGGGGTGGGACGTGGATCAAGAAATAAAAACATTTCCACGGGGTGGGGTGGGACGTGGATCAAGAAATAAAAACATTTCCACGGGGTGGGGTGGGCAGCCCCAGGGGTGGGGTGGGCAGCCCCAGCCATTGGGTTTGAGACAAAGACCAACATCTTTATAACTAAGCAGCGTCCTCTACTATCAATACAAAAAAGGCTATAAAACTGGTTACTGGCTTGTCTAGTAGCATTGATTCTTTTATTTCAACTAAAATACTTCCATTAAATAAAAAGATTATATATACTAAAGCAATTTTCTTATATAAAATATTCCACGAAACAGCCCCCTCTTACTTATCAGACCTCTTTTCTTTTAACATTAAATTAAATCGTCGTCTTAAATTACCGTTTCCATATACAACTTTTTTCCAAAAACATAGCTTCGCCTACTCTGGTTCTAATTTGTGGAACAATCTTCCTAATAAAATAAAACTATCTAGCTATGAAAATATATTCAAATCTAAACTAAAACAACAATTATTTAGTGACCTCGCTAACTGACTCATTGAAACATTTCTCATTCATCTATTGTATTCTTATTATATCTCATCTTGTTTTATAACTATGTAATTTTATTTCTTTATTCCACATTTTTAGTGCTATGTTACTGCTATTACTATGCTATTGTTTTTTTTTGTTTTTTTGAAATGCTGTTATTAAATTGTTGTTTTTATTTGTTTATTTTAAAACGGCCAATTTGAAAAAGGGCCTCCTTGCCTACAATTGTTACCGTAATTGAATAAATAAATAAATGAATAAATAACACAAAAACCACACATAGACACAGGCCACCATCCACACACACAAATCACACATAGAAATAAGCACAATTGTAAACACACACAAATCACACATAGAAATAAGCACAATTGTAAACAAACACAAATCACACATAGAAATAAGCACAATTGTAAACAAACACAAATCACACATAGAAATAAGCACAATTGAAAACAAAATGTTGCAAGCATTGTAACAAGACTTGAACAACTAAAAATCTAACTGGATTTTCTGCACTGATTTTCTTTAGATACTCTGCTATCATTATTTTTCCAGAGAATGTGATCCTAATTTTTAATAAATCATTCAATGGACTAAAAGTTTGCCAGCATGTAGAAGCCTGAGTGTAGAAATGTCATTTGTCCTCCCTCTTCACAGATTGACTATGGGCAGCTGTTGATTTAAGCAGCCATTTAAATACAGATAAAGTACAAGATTCAATTCATGATACAAGAATTTTTTTAAAACTGACGCCAAAAATTTTATGGAGCCAAAATTTTAAAGTTAAGTTTGAAAACAAACTTTTAAAACTGACTTTTGAAACTAAATGACCAAGACAAAAAACTGACCTCTTTGCATTTGTCCGCAGGTTCAAAGCCCAGAACTTTCCCAAAAAAGTAGAACTCTCCATCCAATGAAGTTTGGATATTTTCAGCTTTACGGAAGCCATGCTGTTCACCTTGATAGTAGGAAAAAAAAACTTCAAAATATTCCATTCTACATTACAAAAATATGTTCATTCTAACTTAGACATTACCTGCAAACAACAACTTAGACATTACCTGCACACAACAACTTAGACATTACCTGCAAACAACAACTTAGACATTACCTGCACACAACAACTGAGACATTACCTGCAAACAAGACGTACATGGCAGGAAGTCCTTTAGACCTGACAGCATCATAAAACATCTGAGCCTGGTTTGGTGGCACCACCTGGGGGGGGGGGGGGGGGGGGAATGAGACAATTTTTCACTTTTTATATGTGAAGAAAATGCCAGAAGAAAAAATGTGGCTATGAATGTAAATTGAAATAGAAATTATGGGAGTCAACTTCCTATATGGCACATAACAGGTTGACACGTAATACACAATTGAGCTGGGGGAACTAGCGTCCAGCATTACAAAGAAGAAATGTGAAGAAAAACAAACTGACTTTGTCCTCGTCCCCCTGGAAAAAGCCAACAGCTGTGTTGAGCTGATCGATGTGGTGGATGGGGGATCTCGCCTTCAAGATTTGTTTGCCCTCCTCACTTAAGGGGGCAATCAACGTTTCCAGGTAACGACTTTCAAATTTGTGAGTGTCCTTCATTAAAGCCTCAAGGTCACTGATACCAAAGTGACTGACACCTGCAAATATCAAACTAGGTCACAGCCATCAAACTAGGTCACAGAAATCAAACTGGGGCACATGCATCAAACTGGGTCACATCCATCAAACTGGGTCACATCCATCAAACTAGGTCACACTCATCAAACTGGGTCACATACATCAAACTGGGTCACACACATCAAACTAGGTCACACTCATCAAACTGGGTCACATGCATCAAACTGGGTCACATCCATCAAACTAGGTCACACACATCAAAGTGGGTCACTTCCATCAAACTGGGTCACAGCCATCAAACTAGATCACATGCAAACTAGGTCACATGTATCAAACTGGGTCATTGGGATAAAACTAGGTCACATGAATCAAACTAGTTCACAAGCATCAAACTAGGTCACAGCCATCAAACAGCTGACACCTACCAACATTGAATGTGTTTGTGAAAGTGAGACAGGCTAGAGTTGTGTAGCCGCCAGCTGAGCGCCCATCAATACAAATCCTTTTGGGGTCAACCTTGCCCTCCGCTATCAGGTACTCCACACCTGTACGACAGTCATCAATGTCCAGGACACCCCATCTGTGGAGAGGGAAACATGGCTCAACCATGGCTCAACCCATCTGTGGAGAGGGAAACATGGCTCAACCATGGCTCAACCCATCTGTGGAGAGGAAAACATGGCTCAACCATGGCTCAACCATGGCTCAACCCATCTGTGGAGAGGGAAACATGGCTCAACCATGGCTCAACCCATCTGTGGAGAGGAAAACATGGCTCAACCATGGGCCAACCATGGGCCAACCCATCTGTGGAGAGGGAAACATGGCTCAACCATGGGCCAACCCATCTGTGGACAGGAAAACATGGCTCAACCATGGCTCAACCCATCTGTGGAGAGGAAAACATGGCTCAACCATGGCTCAACCCATCTGTGGAGAGGAAAACATGGCTCAACCATGGCTCAACCATGGCTCAACCCATCTGTGGACAGGAAATGATTGAATGTGTGTGTGTGAAGCTGAGAATAAAATCAACTGACTGTCCTCTGAATGTGTGTGTGTGAAGCTGAGAATAAAATCAACTGACTGTCCTCTGAATGTGTGTGTGAAGCTGAGAATAAAATCAACTGACTGTCCTCTGAATGTGTGTGTGTGAAGCTGAGAATAAAATCAACTGACTGTCCTCTGAATGTGTGTGTGTGAAGCTGAGAATAAAATCAACTGACTGTCCTCTGAATGTGTGTGTGTGAAGCTGAGAATAAAATCAACTGACTGTCCTCTGAATGTGTGTGTGTGAAGCTGAGAATAAAATCAACTGACTGTCCTCTGAATGTGTGTGTGTGAAGCTGAGAATAAAATCAACTGACTGTCCTCTGAATGTGTGTGTGTGAAGCTGAGAATAAAATCAACTGACTGTCCTCTGAATGTGTGTGTGTGAAGCTGAGAATAAAATCAACTGACTGTCCTCTGAATGTGTGTGTGTGAAGCTGAGAATAAAATCAACTGACTGTCCTCTGAATGTGTGTGTGTGAAGCTGAGAATAAAATCAACTGACTGTCCTCTGAATGTGTGTGTGTAAAGCTGAGAAAAAAATCAACTGACTGTCCTCTGAATGTGTGTGTGTGAAGCTGAGAATAAAATCAACTGACTGTCCTCTGAATGTGTGTGTGTGAAGCTGAGAATAAAATCAACTGACTGTCCTCTGAATGTGTGTGTGTGAAGCTGAGAATAAAATCAACTGACTGTCCTCTGAGCCTGTGCCGGTATTTCTTGCCGTAGCCAACACTCCCTCTGTAGTTGACACAGAGCACAGCAAAACCTCGGCTGGTGAAGTACTGCAGCTTAAGGTCAAGACCAGTGGAGAAGGCGCTGGTTGGGCCCCCGTGTGCACGCACCAGAAGTGGGGGAAGCTCGCCTGTCAAAAGTTTAACATATGGGGGAAGCTCGCCTGTCAAAAGTTTAACATATGGGGGGAGCTCGCCTGTCAAAAGTTTAACATATGGGGGAAGCTCGCCTGTCAAAAGTTTAACATATGGGGGGAGCTCGCCTGTCAAAAGTTTAACATATGGGGGAAGCTCGCCTGTCAAAAGTTTAACATATGGGGGGAGCTCGCCTGTCAAAAGTTTAACATATGGGGGAAGCTCGCCTGTCAAAAGTTTAACATATGGGGGGAGCTCGCCTGTCAAAAGTTTAACATATGGGGGAAGCTCGCCTGTCAAAAGTTTAACATATGGGGGGAGCTCGCCTGTCAAAAGTTTTACATATGGGGGGAGCTCACCTGTCAAAAGTTTAACATATGGGGGGAGCTCGCCTGTCAAAAGTTTAACATATGGGGGAAGCTCGCCTGTCAAAAGTTTAACATATGGGGGGCGTGATAATCTTGATTTGAAACTACCTGTGGGGGTGTGGTAATCTTGATTTAAACCAGGGGTCTCCAAACATCATCTTTTTGTCCAAGAAAAAATCATTTGTTGGTGATGATGAGGAACTTTGCGCAGAAAAATCAAAGACATGCCTTGAAGAAACTGGCCCCCGAACTGAAATTTGATTGTTAATGCGGCCCTCGGACTGAAAAGTTTGGAGACCCCTGATTTAAACCTACCTGTGGGGGCGTGGTAATCTTGATTTGAACCTACCTGTGGGGGCGTGGTAATCTTGATTTGAACCTACCTGTGGGGGGCGTGGTAATCTTGATTTGAACCTACCTGTGGGGGCGTGGTAATCTTGATTTGAACCTACCTGTGGGGGCGTGGTAATCTTGATTTGAACCTACCTGTGGGGGCGTGGTAATCTTGATTTGAACCTACCTGTGGGGGCGTGGTAATCTTGATTTGAACCTACCTGTGGGGGCGTGGTAATCTTGATTTGAACCTACCTGTGGGGGCGTGGTAATCTTGAATTGAACCTACCTGTGGGGGCGTGGTAATCTTGATTTGAACCTACCTGTGGGGACGTGGTAATCTTGATTTGAACCTACCTGTGGGGACGTGGTAATCTTGATTTGAACCTACCTGTGGGGGCGTGGTAATCTTGATTTGAACCTACCTGTGGGGGCGTGGTAATCTTGATTTGAACCTACCTGTGGGGGCGTGGTAATCTTGATTGACAGGTGGGTAATACAGGCCATAACAAATCTCATCATAAGTTGTTGGCCAGGCAATTTGTGAAGGGATGCTCAAGTAGCCTGGCTCTACTGATGTGGACATGGAGACTCGGAGTACTTCAACCTGACGGAGCACAAAATCTCATCAAAACCTTGTGTGTTAAGAGCGACCTTGAGGGTGTTGAGACTGACCTTGAGGGTGTTAAGACTGACCTTGAGGGTGTTGAGACTGACCTTGAGGGTGTTGAGACTAACATTGAGGGTGTTGAGACTGACCTTGAGGGTGTTGAGACTAACCTTGAGGGTGTTGAGACTAACCTTGAGGGTGTTGAGACTAACCTTGAGGGTGTTGAGACTAACCTTGAGGGTGTTGAGACTGACCTTGAGGGTGTTGATATTAACCTTGAGGGTGTTGAGACTAACCTTGAGGGTGTTGAGACTGACCTTGAGGGTGTTGATATTAACCTTGAGGGTGTTGAGACTAACCTTGAGGGTGTTGAGACTAACCTTGAGGGTGTTGAGACTGACCTTGAGGGTGTTGATATTAACCTTGAGTGTGTTGGGACTAACCTTGAGGGTGTTGAGACTGACCTTGAGGGTGTTGATATTAACCTTGAGGGTGTTGAGACTAACCTTGTGTGTTGAGACTGACCTTGAGGGTGTTGAGACTAACATTGATGGTGTTGAGACTAACCTTGAGGGTGTTGAGACTAACATTGATGGTGTTGAGACTGACCTTGAGGGTGTTGAGACTGACCTTGAGGGTGTCTACATGAACCTTGATGAGCTGTGGAAAGTTGGAGCTGCTGTGAGCAATGCAGTACACAGCCCCCGCTACAGGCCAGGACAATTGCTCATGTACAGCGTAGCCAGTCTCTAGTTTCTTGTAGCTTTTTTCCTTCATGTCTACAATCCCAAACTCCTGAACAAGAACAAATGTACAACTCATGCTTGGACTAACATTGAGATCTATTAAATCTAATACTGCCCCCCTAGAACATGTGACTACCATACTGAACCCCCCTAAAAGATGTGACTGACCCCCCTAAAAGATGTGACTGACCCCCCTAAAAGATGTGACTGACCCCCCTAAAAGATGTGACTGACCCCTCTAAAAGATGTGACTGACCCCCCTAAAAGATGTGATTGACCCCCCCTAAAAGATGTGACTGACCCCCCTAAAAGATGTGACTGACCCCCCCTAAAAGATGTGACTGACCCCCTAAAAGATGTGACTGACCCCCTAAAAGATGTGACTGACCCCCCTAAAAGATGTGACTGACCCCCCTAAAAGATGTGACTGACCCCCCTAAAAGATGTGACTGACCCCCCTAAAAGATGTGACTGACCCCCCTAAAAGATGTGACTGACCCCTCTAAAAGATGTGACTGACCCCCCTAAAAGATGTGACTGACCCCCCCTAAAAGATGTGACTGACCCCCCTAAAAGATGTGACTGACCCCCCTAAAAGATGTGACTGACCCTCCTAAAGATGTGACTGACCCCCCCCCTAAAAGATATGACTGACCCCCCTAAAAGATGTGACTGACCCCCCTAAAAGATGTGACTGACCCCTCTAAAAGATGTGACTGACCCCCCTAAAAGATGTGACTGACCCCCCCTAAAAGATGTGACTGACCCCCCTAAAAGATGTGACTGACCCCCCTAAAAGATGTGACTGACCCCCCTAAAAGATGTGACTGACCCCCCTAAAAGATGTGACTGACCCTCCTAAAGATGTGACTGACCCCCCCTAAAAGATATGACTGACCCCCCTAAAAGATGTGACTGACCCCCCTAAAAGATGTGACTGACCCCCCTAAAAGATGTGACTGACCCCCCTAAAAGATGTGACTGACCCCCCTAAAAGATGTGACTGACCCCCCTAAAAGATGTGACTGACCCTCCTAAAGATGTGACTGACCCCCCCCTAAAAGATATGACTGACCCCCCTAAAAGATGTGACTGACCCCCCTAAAAGATGTGACTGACCCCCCTAAAAGATGTGACTGACCCCCCTAAAAGATGTGACTGACCCCCCTAAAAGATGTGACTGACCCCCCTAAAAGATGTGACTGACCCCCCTAAAAGATGTGACTGACCCCCCTAAAAGATGTGACTGACCCCCCCTAAAAGATGTGACTGACCCCCCTAAAAGATGTGACTGACCCCCCCTAAAAGATGTGACTGACCCCCTAAAAGATGTGACTGACCCCCTAAAAGATGTGACTGACCCCCCTAAAAGATGTGACTGACCCCCCTAAAAGATGTGACTGACCCCCCTAAAAGATGTGACTGACCCCCCTAAAAGATGTGACTGACCCCCCTAAAAGATGTGACTGACCCCTCTAAAAGATGTGACTGACCCCCCTAAAAGATGTGACTGACCCCCCCTAAAAGATGTGACTGACCCCCCTAAAAGATGTGACTGACCCCCCTAAAAGATGTGACTGACCCTCCTAAAGATGTGACTGACCCCCCCTAAAAGATATGACTGACCCCCCTAAAAGATGTGACTGACCCCCCTAAAAGATGTGACTGACCCCTCTAAAAGATGTGACTGACCCCCCTAAAAGATGTGACTGACCCCCCTAAAAGATGTGACTGACCCTCCTAAAGATGTGACTGACCCCCCCTAAAAGATATGACTGACCCCCCTAAAAGATGTGACTGACCCCCCTAAAAGATGTGACTGACCCCCCTAAAAGATGTGACTGACCCCCCTAAAAGATGTGACTGACCCCCCTAAAAGATGTGACTGACCCCCCTAAAAGATGTGACTGACCCCCCTAAAAGATGTGACTGACCCCCCTAAAAGATGTGACTGACCCCCCCTAAAAGATGTGACTGACCCCCCTAAAAGATGTGACTGACCCCCCCTAAAAGAAGTGACTGACCCCCTAAAAGATGTGACTACCCCCTAAAAGATGTGACTGACCCCCCTAAAAGATGTGACTGACCCCTCTAAAAGATGTGACTGACCCCCCTAAAAGATGTGACTGACCCCCCTAAAAGATGTGACTGACCCCCCTAAAAGATGTGACTGACCCCCCTAAAAGATGTGACTGACCCCCCTAAAAGATGTGACTGACCCCCCTAAAAGATGTGACTGACCCTCCTAAAGATGTGACTGACCCCCCCTAAAAGATATGACTGACCCCCCTAAAAGATATGACTGACCCCCCTAAAAGATGTGACTGACCCCCCTAAAAGATTTGACTGACCCCCCTAAAAGATGTGACTGACCCCCCTAAAAGATGTGACTGACCCCCCTAAAAGATGTGACTGACCCCCCTAAAAGATGTGACTGACCCCCCTAAAAGATGTGACTGACCCCTCTAAAAGATGTGACTGACCCCCTAAAAGATGTGACTGACCCCCCTAAAAGATGTGACTGACCCCTCTAAAAGATGTGACTGACCCCTCTAAAAGATGTGACTGACCCCCCTAAAAGATGTGACTGACCCCTCTAAAAGATGTGACTGACCCCCCTAAAAGATGTGACTGACCCCTCTAAAAGATGTGACTGACCCCCCTAAAAGATGTGACTGACCCCCCCTAAAAGATGTGACTGACCCCCCTAAAAGATGTGACTGACCCCCCTAAAAGATGTGACTGACCCTCCTAAAGATGTGACTGACCCCCCCTAAAAGATATGACTGACCCCCCTAAAAGATGTGACTGACCCCCCTAAAAGATGTGACTGACCCCTCTAAAAGATGTGACTGACCCCCCTAAAAGATGTGACTGACCCCCCCTAAAAGATGTGACTGACCCCCCTAAAAGATGTGACTGACCCCCCTAAAAGATGTGACTGACCCCCCTAAAAGATGTGACTGACCCCCCTAAAAGATGTGACTGACCCTCCTAAAGATGTGACTGACCCCCCCTAAAAGATATGACTGACCCCCCTAAAAGATGTGACTGACCCCCCCTAAAAGATGTGACTGACCCCCCTAAAAGATGTGACTGACCCCCCTAAAAGATGTGACTGACCCCCCTAAACGATGTGACTGACCCCCCTAAAAGATGTGACTGACCCCCCTAAAAGATGTGACTGACCCCCCTAAAAGATGTGACTGACCCCCCCTAAAAGATGTGACTGACCCCCCTAAAAGATGTGACTGACCCCCCCTAAAAGATGTGACTGACCCCCTAAAAGATGTGACTGACCCCCTAAAAGATGTGACTGACCCCCCTAAAAGATGTGACTGACCCCCCTAAAAGATGTGACTGACCCCCCTAAAAGATGTGACTGACCCCCCTAAAAGATGTGACTGACCCCCCTAAAAGATGTGACTGACCCCTCTAAAAGATGTGACTGACCCCCCTAAAAGATGTGACTGACCCCCCCTAAAAGATGTGACTGACCCCCCCCCCTAAAAGATGTGACTGACCCCCCCTAAAAGATGTGACTGACCCCCCTAAAAGATGTGACTGACCCCCCTAAAAGATGTGACTGACCCCCCTAAAAGATGTGACTGACCCCCCTAAAAGATGTGACTGACCCTCCTAAAGATGTGACTGACCCCCCCTAAAAGATATGACTGACCCCCCTAAAAGATGTGACTGACCCCCCTAAAAGATGTGACTGACCCCCCTAAAAGATGTGACTGACCCCCCTAAAAGATGTGACTGACCCCCCTAAAAGATGTGACTGACCCCCCTAAAAGATGTGACTGACCCCCCTAAAAGATGTGACTGACCCCCCTAAAAGATGTGACTGACCCCCCCTAAAAGATATGACTGACCCCCCTAAAAGATGTGACTGACCCCCCTAAAAGATGTGACTGACCCCCTAAAAGATGTGACTGACCCCCCTAAAAGATGTGACTGACCCCCCTAAAAGATGTGACTGACCCCCCTAAAAGATGTGACTGACCCCCCTAAAAGATGTGACTGACCCCCCTAAAAGATGTGACTGACCCCCCTAAAAGATGTGACTGACCCCTCTAAAAGATGTGACTGACCCCTCTAAAAGATGTGACTGACCCCCCTAAAAGATGTGACTGACCCCTCTAAAAGATGTGACTGACCCCTCTAAAAGATGTGACTGACCCCCCTAAAAGATGTGACTGACCCCCCTAAAAGATGTGACTGACCCTCCTAAAGATGTGACTGACCCCCCCTAAAAGATATGACTGACCCCCCTAAAAGATGTGACTGACCCCCCTAAAAGATGTGACTGACCCCCCTAAAAGATGTGACTGACCCCCCTAAAAGATGTGACTGACCCCCCTAAAAGATGTGACTGACCCCCCTAAAAGATGTGACTGACCCCCCTAAAAGATGTGACTGACCCCCCTAAAAGATGTGACTGACCCCTCTAAAAGATGTGACTGACCCCCTAAAAGATGTGACTGACCCCCCTAAAAGATGTGACTGACCCCTCTAAAAGATGTGACTGACCCCTCTAAAAGATGTGACTGACCCCCCTAAAAGATGTGACTGACCCCTCTAAAAGATGTGACTGACCCCCTAAAAGATGTGACTGACCCCCCTAAAAGATGTGACTGACCCCTCTAAAAGATGTGACTGACCCCTCTAAAAGATGTGACTGACCCCCCTAAAAGATGTGACTGACCCCTCTAAAAGATGTGACTGACCCCTCTAAAAGATGTGACTGACCCCCCTAAAAGATATGACTGACCCCCCCCCCTAAAAGATGTGACTGACCCCCCTAAAAGATGTGACTGACCCCCCTAAAAGATGTGACTGACCCCCCTAAAAGATGTGACTGACCCCCCTAAAAGATGTGACTGACCCCCCTAAAAGATGTGACTGACCCCTCTAAAAGATGTGACTGACCCCTCTAAAAGATGTGACAATCCTACTGCCCCCATTAGGCTCCAGGGCATATGACTGTTTCCCCAACTGCCACTGTGGCCCGCCTATCTCAGCATTGGTTTCATGCAGGTTCACATGACCTTGACCTGGAGTGAGCACGTACAGGTTCCACCAGTCGCTGTGGTCACCAATATACAGGAGCTGGTTCTCTGGTGTCCAGGAGGGCTGCATGACACTCAGGTCTTGACCAGAACCATCTTGGCCACCCACCACCTACAGGCACACAACATTGCTTTTTATTCCCTGCCATCTTTCATATCATTTACTTCATTACTTATATCTTTCATATCATTTACTTCATTACTTATATCTTTCATATCATTTACTTCATTACTTATATCTTTTATTCCCTGCCATCTTTCATATCATTTACTTCATTACTTAATCTTTTATTCCCTGCCAACTTTCATATCATTTACTTCATTACTTACATCTTTTATTCACTGCCATCTTTCATATCATTTACTTCATTACTTATATCTTTTATTCACTGCCATCTTTCATATCATTTACTTCATTACTTATATCTTTTATTCACTGCCATCTTTCATATCATTTACTTCATTACTTAATCTTTTATTCCCTGCCATCTTTCATATCATTTACTTCATTACTTATATCTTTTATTCCCTGCCATCTTTCATATCATTTACTTCATTACTTATATCTTTCATATCATTTACTTCATTACTTATATCTTTTATTCACTGCCATCTTTCATATCATTTACTTCATTACTTATATCTTTTATTCACTGCCATCTTTCATATCATTTACTTCATTACTTAATCTTTTATTCCCTGCCATCTTTCATATCATTTACTTCATTACTTATATCTTTTATTCCCTGCCATCTTTCATATCATTTACTTCATTACTTATATCTTTTATATCATTTACTTCATTACTTATATCTTTTATTCACTGCCATCTTTCATATCATTTACTACATTACTTAATCTTTTATTCCCTGCCATCTTTCATATCATTTACTTCATTACTTATATCTTTTATTCCCTGCCATCTTTCATATCATTTACTTCATTACTTATATCTTTTATTCCCTGCCATCTTTCATATCATTTACGTCATTACTTATATCTTTCATATCATTTACTTCATTACTTATATCTTTTATTCACTGCCATCTTTCATATCATTTACTTCATTACTTAATCTTTTATTCCCTGCCATCTTTCATATCATTTACTTCATTACTTATATCTTTTATTCACTGCCATCTTTCATATCATTTACTTCATTACTTAATCTTTTATTCCCTGCCATCTTTCATATAATTTACTTCATTACTTATATCTTTATTCACAGCCATCTTTCATATCATTTACTTCATTACTTATATCTTTTATTCACTGCCATCTTTCATATCATTTACTTCATTACTTATATCTTTTATTCACTGCCATCTTTCATATCATTTACTTCATTACTTAATCTTTTATTCCCTGCCATCTTTCATATCATTTACTTCATTACTTATATCTTTTATTCACTGCCATCTTTCATATCATTTACTTCATTACTTATATCTTTTATTCACTGCCATCTTTCATATCATTTACTTCATTACTTATATCTTTTATTCACTGCCATCTTTCATATCATTTACTTCATTACTTATATCTTTTATTCACTGCCATCTTTCATATCATTTACTTCATTACTTATATCTTTTATTCACTGCCATCTTTCATATCATTTACTTCATTACTTATATCTTTTATTCCCTGCCATCTTTCATATCATTTACTTCATTACTTATATCTTTTATTCCCTGCCATCTTTCATATCATTTACTTCATTACTTATATCTTTTATTCCCTGCCATCTTTCATATCATTTACTTCATTACTTATATCTTTCATATCATTTACTTCATTACTTATATCTTTTATTCCCTGCCATCTTTCATGTCATTTACTTCATTACTTATATCTTTTATTCCCTGCCATCTTTCATATCATTTACTTCATTACTTAATCTTTTATTCCCTGCCAACTTTCATATCATTTACTTCATTACTTATATCTTTTATTCACTGCCATCTTTCATATCATTTACTTCATTACTTACATCTTTTATTCACTGCCATCTTTCATATCATTTACTTCATTACTTAATCTTTTATTCCCTGCCAACTTTCATATCATTTACTTCATTACTTATATCTTTTATTCACTGCCATCTTTCATATCATTTACTTCATTACTTATATCTTTTATTCCCTGCCATCTTTCATATCATTTACTTCATTACTTATATCTTTTATTCCCTGCCATCTTTCATATCATTTACTTCATTACTTATATCTTTTATTCACTGCCATCTTTCATATCATTTACTTCATTACTTATATCTTTTATTCCCTGCCATCTTTCATATCATTTACTTCATTACTTATATCTTTTATTCACTGCCATCTTTCATATCATTTACTTCATTACTTATATCTTTTATTCACTGCCATCTTTCATATCATTTACTTCATTACTTAATCTTTTATTCCCTGCCAACTTTCATATCATTTACTTCATTACTTATATCTTTTATTCACTGCCATCTTTCATATCATTTACTTCATTACTTATATCTTTTATTCACTGCCATCTTTCATATCATTTACTTCATTACTTATATCTTTTATTCACTGCCATCTTTCATATCATTTACTTCATTACTTAATCTTTTATTCCCTGCCAACTTTCTTATAATTTACTTCATTACTTATATCTTTTATTCCCTGCCATCTTTCATATCATTTACTTCATTACTTATATCTTTTATTCACTGCCATCTTTCATATCATTTACTTCATTACTTATATCTTTTATTCACTGCCATCTTTCATATCATTTACTTCATTACTTATATCTTTTATTCCCTGCCATCTTTCATATCATTTACTTCATTACTTATATCTTTTATTCACTGCCATCTTTCATATAATTTACTTCATTACTTATATCTTTTATTCACTGCCATCTTTCATATCATTTACTTCATTACTTAATCTTTTATTCCCTGCCAACTTTCATATCATTTACTTCATTACTTATATCTTTTATTCACTGCCATCTTTCATATCATTTACTTCATTACTTATATCTTTTATTCACTGCCATCTTTCATATCATTTACTTCATTACTTATATCTTTTATTCACTGCCATCTTTCATATCATTTACTTCATTACTTAATCTTTTATTCCCTGCCAACTTTCTTATCATTTACTTCATTACTTATATCTTTTATTCCCTGCCATCTTTCATATCATTTACTTCATTACTTAATCTTTTATTCCCTGCCAACTTTCATATCATTTACTTCATTACTTATATCTTTTATTCACTGCCATCTTTCATATCATTTACTTCATTACTTATATCTTTTATTCCCTGCCATCTTTCATATCATTTACTTCATTACTTATATCTTTTATTCACTGCCATCTTTCATATCATTTACTTCATTACTTATATCTTTTATTCACTGCCATCTTTCATATCATTTACTTCATTACTTATATCTTTTATTCACTGCCATCTTTCATATCATTTACTTCATTACTTAATCTTTTATTCCCTGCCATCTTTCATATCATTTACTTCATTACTTATATCTTTTATTCACTGCCATCTTTCATATCATTTACTTCATTACTTAATCTTTTATTCACTGCCATCTTTCATATTATTTACTTCATTACTTATATCTTTTATTCCCTGCCATCTTTCATATCATTTACTTCATTACTTAATCTTTTATTCACTGCCATCTTTCATATCATTTACTTCATTACTTAATCTTTCATATCATTTACTTCATTACTTATATCTTTTATTCACTGCCATCTTTCATATCATTTACTTCATTACTTATATCTTTTATTCACTGCCATCTTTCATATCATTTACTTCATTACTTATATCTTTTATTCACTGCCAACTTTCATATCATTTACTTCATTACTTATATCTTTTATTCACTGCCATCTTTCATATCATTTACTTCATTACTTATATCTTTTATTCACTGCCATCTTTCATATCATTTACTTCATTACTTAATCTTTTATTCCCTGCCAACTTTCATATCATTTACTTCATTACTTAATCTTTTATTCACTGCCATCTTTCATATCATTTACTTCATTACTTATATCTTTTATTCCCTGCCATCTTTCATATCATTTACTTCATTACTTATATCTTTTATTCACTGCCATCTTTCATATCATTTACTTCATTACTTATATCTTTTATTCACTGCCATCTTTCATATCATTTACTTCATTACTTATATCTTTTATTCACTGCCATCTTTCATATCATTTACTTCATTACTTATATCTTTTATTCACTGCCATCTTTCATATCATTTTCTTCATTACTTAATCTTTTATTCACTGCCATCTTTCATATTATTTACTTCATTACTTATATCTTTTATTCCCTGCCATCTTTCATATCATTTACTTCATTACTTAATCTTTTATTCACTGCCATCTTTCATATCATTTACTTCATTACTTAATCTTTCATATCATTTACTTCATTACTTATATCTTTTATTCCCTGCCATCTTTCATATCATTTACTTCATTACTTATATCTTTTATTCCCTGCCATCTTTCATATCATTTACTTCATTACTTATATCTTTTATTCCCTGCCATCTTTCATATCATTTACTTCATTACTTAATCTTTTATTCCCTGCCATCTTTCATATCATTTACTTCATTACTTATATCTTTTATTCACTGCCATCTTTCATATCATTTACTTCATTACTTATATCTTTTATTCCCTGCCATCTTTCATATCATTTACTTCATTACTTATATCTTTTATTCACTGCCATCTTTCATATCATTTACTTCATTACTTACATCTTTTATTCACTGCCATCTTTCATATCATTTACTTCATTACTTATATCTTTTATTCACTGCCATCTTTCATATCATTTACTTCATTACTTATATCTTTTATTCACTGCCATCTTTCATATCATTTACTTCATTACTTATATCTTTTATTCACTGCCATCTTTCATATCATTTACTTCATTACTTATTCTTTTATTCACTGCCATCTTTCATATCATTTACTTCATTACTTATATCTTTTATTCCCTGCCATCTTTCATATCATTTACTTCATTACTTAATCTTTTATTCACTGCCATCTTTCATATCATTTACTTCATTACTTATATCTTTTATTCCCTGCCATCTTTCATATCATTTACTTCATTACTTAATCTTTTATTCACTGCCATCTTTCATATAATTTACTTCATTACTTATATCTTTTATTCACTGCCATCTTTCATATCATTTACTTCATTACTTATTCTTTTATTCACTGCCATCTTTCATATCATTTACTTCATTACTTATATCTTTTATTCCCTGCCATCTTTCATATCATTTACTTCATTACTTAATCTTTTATTCACTGCCATCTTTCATATCATTTACTTCATTACTTATATCTTTTATTCCCTGCCATCTTTCATATCATTTACTTCATTACTTAATCTTTTATTCCCTGCCATCTTTCATATAATTTACTTCATTACTTAATCTTTTATTCACTTTACTTTTTTTTTTACTTTCATCTTTGATATCCTTTGAGTGACTAATTTCCTTTAAATGAATGACTTATTTTACTTAAAATTCCTAGAATGACTTATTATACAAGAATTCCCTAGAATGACTGATTTGACTTAAATTTCCTAGAATGACTTAAAAGTCCCTAGGATGACTGATTTGACTTAAATTTCCTAGAATGACTTAAAAGTCCCTAGAATGACTGATTTGACTTAACCCACCTTATGAGCGTCTTGAATAGCATCTCCGTCCTGGCTCAGGTTAGCCACCCAGATCTCAGTACTATCCCACGGCTGTTGATCAAACAGTTGACCCACATTTCATTCATTATTTCACTCATTTACAAACTCTATTCTTTTATTCATTTACTTTTTGCATTCAATTACAGAAACTCTTTTTTAAACATTTTAATATTTTCACTTTTTATTCTATATTTTTTACTCATTACTTCTTTTAATTTTTACCATCATTAAATTCATACAAAACTTCTTCCATCTACATTTATTTTCATAATTGAAAAAAAAAATCTTTAACATCAATACATATCAAATGTTTGAAACTATGATCCAATCTCTTTCAAATTTAAAACAAAATATTTTAAATGGAAAATCAAACTACCAAAGAAAATAGAAAAATATAAGAAAAAAAATCAATTGGAATAAAGAGGGGAAATAAATGGTATAAGAAAAAACAAAAGGAATAAATGAAGAAAAAAAAACGAAAAGTAATAAAAACAGGAGGAAATACGAGGGAAAAAAGAACTAATGACCATGTTTGGACAAAAAAAAAAGAACTAATGACCATGTTTGGACAAAACAAAAAGAACTAATGACCATGTTTGGACAAAAAAAAAGAACTAATGACCATGTTTGGACAAAAAAAAAGAACTAATGACCATGTTTGGACAAAAAAAAGAACTAATGACCATGTTTGGACAAAAAAAAGAACTAATGACCATGTTTGGACAAAAAAAAAAGAACTAATGACCATGTTTGGACAAAAAAAAAAGAACTAATGACCATGTTTGGACAAAAAAAAAAGAACTAATGACCATGTTTGGACAAAAAAAAAAGAACTAATGACCATGTTTGGACAAAAAAAAAGAACTAATGACCATGTTTGGACAAAAAAAAAAGAACTAATGACCATGTTTGGACAAAAAAAAAAGAACTAATGACCATGTTTGGACAAAAAAAAAAAGAACTAATGACCATGTTTGGACAAAAAAAAAAGAACTAATGACCATGTTTGGACAAAAAAAAAAGAACTAATGACCATGTTTGGACAAAAAAAAAAAGAACTAATGACCATGTTTGGACAAAAAAAAAAAAAACTAATGACCATGTTTGGACAAAAAAAAAACAACTAATGACCATGTTTGGACAAAAAAAAAACAACTAATGACCATGTTTGGACAAGAGAAAAACAACTAATGACCATGTTTGGACAAAAAAAAAAGAACTAATGACCATGTTTGGACAAAAAAAAAGAACTAATGACCATGTTTGGACAAAAAAAAAAGAACTAATGACCATGTTTGGACAAAAAAAAAGAACTAATGACCATGTTTGGACAAAAAAAAAAAGAACTAATGACCATGTTTGGACAAAAAAAAAAGAACTAATGACCATGTTTGGACAAAAAAAAAAACAACTAATGACCATGTTTGGACAAGAGAAAAACAACTAATGACCATGTTTGGACAAAAAAAAAAGAACTAATGACCATGTTTGGACAAAAAAAAAAAGAACTAATGACCATGTTTGGACAAAAAAAAAAGAACTAATGACCATGTTTGGACAAAAAAAAAAGAACTAATGACCATGTTTGGACAAAAAAAAAACAACTAATGACCATGTTTGGACAAGAGAAAAACAACTAATGACCATGTTTGGACAAAAAAAAAAGAACTAATGACCATGTTTGGACAAAAAAAAAGAACTAATGACCATGTTTGGACAAAAAAAAAGAACTAATGACCATGTTTGGACAAAAAAAAAAGAACTAATGACCATGTTTGGACAAAAAAAAAAGAACTAATGACCATGTTTGGACAAAAAAAAAAGAACTAATGACCATGTTTGGACAAAAAAAAAAGAACTAATGACCATGTTTGGACAAAAAAAAAACAACTAATGACCATGTTTGGACAAGAGAAAAACAACTAATGACCATGTTTGGACAAAAAAAAAAGAACTAATGACCATGTTTGGACAAAAAAAAAAGAACTAATGACCATGTTTGGACAAAAAAAAAGAACTAATGACCATGTTTGGACAAAAAAAAAAGAACTAATGACCATGTTTAGACAAAAAAAAAAGAACTAATGACCATGTTTGGACAAAAAAAAAAGAACTAATGACCATGTTTGGACAAAAAAAAAGAACTAATGACCATGTTTGGACAAAAAAAAAAGAACTAATGACCATGTTTGGATGCTGCCACTGTACCCAGGCAATGTGCTGGCCATCTGCTGAGACTCTGGGACTTGCATAGAAGTCTGATCCTTCTACCTGCAACATTTGTTTCACATTTTCTTCATTTACTTCAACATTTTCTACAACATTTTCTACAAGATTTTCATTCATTATCAAAACCAAATCGAACCCATTTATTAAATCAAAATTTGAGAAAAATATATCAAGTGGTATGATTTACTCTCAATGTCATTTAGTGTGGGGACAAAACTTTGATGTGATATGATGTGTGGGGGGTGGGGGGGGGGGGGGGAAGAGATGGTGGAGGTTCTGCAGAGAAA